TATTTAGAAACGAACTTTTATCATAATTACTAGATATGAATGAATATTGTGATTCATTGATGAAAGTGATTGTAATTAAGAAAGGATGTTGGATTATTTGTCATATCATAAATATTTACCAAATGACTATAACATAAGTATTTAGTTTAAGAGTGTGGCTTACGATGCAATTTTAATGGTATACATTTCTAACTCAATGGATACTATTGTCCATTGTTAAACAAACAGTGTTTATTGTATTCAATGTAAAGTTAGTTACATGTCATTAAACATTGCTGTTAGATTTAGCTGAAAAAATTGTGTATTTTCACAATGATTTTTAAAGCAGAAAAAATAGTTTTAACACATAGATTTATTATTATATATTCACTCATTAAAAAAAAATAAATGAAATAAAAATACAAATATCGCATATTATATTTAAGCTCAATTAGACCAAAATCTATTATTGTATTAGTAGATATTTTTATGTCAGTTTTAAAATATTTTGTTGATTAAATTATGAATAATTTATCATGCCAAAATATGTAGTTATTATATATTCATGTTAATATTTTTTTTTATATCAGAATTCTTATGTACACATTAACTAAAAAAAATATAACAAAAAGTAGCTGAATATTTACCATTATAGAATGATTTTTATAACACAATAAAGGATTCGAGAAATGCTGTATTTATTTTACCTAAAACTAAAACTGTATATACTATCTCATTACAAACTACATAATTTTTTTAAACCTTATTTTCAGTATATCAGGTAAGTCTGAATCGTAAAAAAATACATACTCCTTCTTTTACAATAAATACAGTTGAATTTCAACAACATACATTTTTATGAAGTTGGTTGAAACCTGATTTTATTTTTGATAATAAAACAATACATTTGATCCATGTGTATTACTTCATTTTTCTTTTATCAATTTTTTATATCTGAAAAAAGTTACATAAATAAATTAGCACAAATGATTTTAATTAAAAAATAAACAAATATGTTTTCATTTCAATAAAAATAAATTTTAATTGAAAACGGCCTCAAGAGCTGAAAGGTTGATGAAAGAAAAACAAGTAAGATTTTTGGATCAAATGTGTTGTTTTAATATTAAACATAAATTTTAATTAACTGTCAATAGGTAATATTCCATAATTTTGATTCTGAAACAGTGCGAGCTGAAGAAATTAAGGTTTTGTTGGTTATATAGAAAGGAGCATCGACTATGGTTTGAAGAACTTTAGACTGAAAGGATCGGATGCGTTTGATGTTAAAAAATGTTGCTGTCCCCCAAAGTTCTAGTCCGTAATACCAAATAGGTTTCAGGATTGTCTTGTAGATCAGTAATTTGTTATCAATAGGAAGTTGAAATTTTCAATTTAGTAGTCTGTATAGTTGGCCGTATTGTCGGTTAAGTTTCTGTCTTTTAAGTCTTGTATGAGGGTTCCAAATTAGTCATCTGTCTACTAGAAAGCCAAGATATCAGACTGTATCTGAGAAAGGAAGCAGGATGTTGTTAAAATAAAATGGTGGACAGGATTTATGACAAAGGGTGAAAGTAATGTATTAGCATTAATTATGGAATGGAATAAAATATAGAATATACCAACATAAAAAATTATTAGAAAAATAAAATTATCTCAAAATAAAATTTAAAAAACTGTATTTGTACATCATGAGCTGAAATGAGACATGAATTTGATTTTGAAGATGTGGCAATTATCTACAAAGAAAAAATATATATTCAGAAGGCAGACACTAAAAGGATTAACAATCACCAAAAATGAAGAAAATGCAATAAATTTCAAAAACTGATTTAGTAAATATAAAGCAATATTAGGATTAACTTTTAAAAAACTAACTAAATTGATAATCGTTTTGCTTCATATATGTAAGCATAACACAGGTTATATAAAGCATAATACTAAATCTCGATACAGGGTGTCTAAATGGTATAAATTTTTCTTGTTGATATGAAATAGTGTGAGCTTCTAAACTTTTTAAGTAATATTATAGCGTTTTTCACAGGAAAAATTAAATTTTCCGATAAATTCACAAAGAAATAAAAAGGAAATAAGGTAATATTTTCTTTGCAATTTAACTACTGATTTGTGATGGAATAAATTTTGCTCAAATTTTTTAATATAAAATTACAATTCACTCTCAATTAGGGTAAGCTCACCAATGATGGACATAGTTAAGGATTTTTTTGCATTTTTTGGTCAATGCCACTATAATCATTATAGCTATAAACTTCTCCCTTAGACATTTAGAATTTCTAGAGTCTCTTTTTCTATTTAACACTTTAAAATTGAAAAAATATTCAGTTATGCAGGTATCATCTCCATTTAAAAAAAATATCTTTAGTGATGGACACCTCGAAATATAATTATTCTAAATGGTAATGACAAGGGGTCGGTACCAATAATGGACATACCTCAGAAAAATTCTAAAATCTTTATTTAACTATAAAGATAACATAACATAAATGTTCAATTTACCCTTAGCAAAACTGTTAGTAGGGAGGTATGAAACAAACTGATCTCAAGAGCACTATAAAAACAGCAATGATAGGTATTTTTAAAATTTTCTTATGGGAACTTTGTCCATACAGTTGTGAATATAAGGCATTGTTATTCAATCTAGAAAAAACTGGAACCTTCAAATCAACAAGGAAGCTTATTCTTTACATTTAAAGCCCGATCTGTCCATAACTAATGCATTCACCCTAATATTTTCTTAAGACTTTTTTTTTTTTAATTACTAGGCAAATAATTTTCAGAAAAACTGGATTTTAATAGGATAAAATGATAGCAAATAAATGTGATAAAAAGAGAGAAAATAAAAATAGTTAGATTTTATATGAACTTTAAAGAAATCATATTAACTACAAGGTGCACCAGTCAGTAGTATATTATACAGTTTCTAAGAATGTATTTTTATTTTTTTAAATTTATAATACATGAAAATGGCTAAATAAAAGCCGAAATGTTATATGATATATTAAACAAAAGTATTTTTTTCTTGTGAAAGATACTTTAATTGGTGAAATATTGTGGCATTTTTAAACCTTAATCTATAATTGATAATAGGTCATATAAAAAAAGGATAAAAAACAACATGTTATAAAAGCATACATTTATTGCTATTAAAAATAATCAGACAAATTAATTTGACACACAGGAACGATCCATCATTTAAATAAATAATCAATACATTAAAAAATTACACAATTTTCACAATGCTTAGACACTCGTACATAACATATATAATTCTTTTTTTTTTGTCTGTTACTTACCAAGCACATCATGCCCGATAACAAACAGAAAAAAAAATTTACTTAAACAATGGACAGAAACATTTCCAATTATAATAAATTAAAGTTCAAAGATTTCTATATGATATAATGGGCACTTCACCTAAAGAAAAGTAATTAAACTTTACCTTCATGTCTTTACATTAAAAAATACTATTGCTACCAATTTGTATTCAACATTTTTTTTTTGTCTAAATATTACTAAAACAACCCACTTATATTTCAATTAATAATTCAATAAAATTTCCAAAAATTTTGGGTGAATTCATTAGCTAATTTACTCTTAAGTAAATATGCATGAACAATCTAATAAAATTGGTACTTGAAAAAAACAAAACAATTAAAATTGTATTCCATCAACCAATTTTTTTATATTAAAAAAATATTTAATTGAAAAATACTAAAAAGGTATTTATATACATATTCAGAAAATTAGTAATTAATTAAAAATATTTAAGTAAATCACTAACTACAAATGAATTAAGTGAAATGTCCAAAAATTAAAAATAAGATCAAAAAATTGACAATTAATAAAAATTATATACATTTTTGGAAACTTAGTTATTATTTTTATTAGAGGATGAACCTTCAATAAAACAATGAAGATATTTTTTTTTTTGACAAAAATAGTAAACATTACATTTTCCAATTTTACAAAATGTTTTTTTGAACCATGGATCAACAACATCTCTATCTCCTTCTTCCCACAGAACACTACAGGATGGCAATTAAGTTTAAGAATGTTTGTCAATTTTATTTTTAAAATTCTAACTGCTTAAAAAATACTTATAAATTGAAACTTGCTCTAAAATATAGATAAAAATAAACTTTTACAATTATAACCTTTAAAGGGTTCTAGGTTCACAACTTGTTTGAAAGTAAACATAAATGGAAAGTAGGTGGATTAAATCAAGTTTCAAAAGAATAGCAACAAGATATATCATGAATTCTTTTCCTACACTGGAAACAATTATTTTTTAAATTAACATAAAAGTATATATGTATATATCACAGGGCAAAGAAAACTATATTTACATTATTATAAAATATATATATATACATTTTTAAATGAGATAATTCAAACAATTGTCTATAAATACAAACATAAAACTACAAATATCACAGAAAACTACCCTAACATAATAAAAATAAACATGGATTCTAAATTCAAACTGACCTGAGTATATAATTTAAATCCCAACCTGAAAGAGAATTATTTCTAGTGAAAATACATCTTCTACGTTTAAGAGGCTTCAGTTAACATTAAAGGAAAAATTCAAATTTATAAAAAAAAAAGTCAGTAAAGTAGCGATGACATTAATTGACATATTTTCCCTTCATTCTATCATGCAAAAGCATACTGAATGTTCTACATCACTTAAACATAGAAATTAATTTAATCCTTAACCATATTAATTAAAATATTTCTAGAAATATTCCTTAACTAAATCTCTAATTATAACATTTTGATTATTTTATAAAACATTGTCATTGTTTCAATACATTTATGTATGTGTTTTTATAAAAATAGAAGAACAAACACAATTACAAACTTATTTACAATGCACAGTGATTTAATTTTAATTTTTTTCATTTAGTAAAAATTCTGAATTGGGCAGCAACATCATGTGACATAATCTACAACGCAATATTCTTTGGACACAAATCTTACATAAAAATTTTAATAAAAAGCTACCTCCTGTTCAGCTTAGACCAAACTGAAAACAGAGTAAAAAGGTATGAAATAACGCCGACAAACAATATATAACATATTTCTTGAACTGGTTGGAAGTCTCGCAGTTCCATTTCGTCAAGGAAAACCTTAGGTTTCTTGTAGTGGCAATAAAATTCGCTACAAGGCAGGTCACTCCTGCCCGATCCGTAAAGTGAATAAAATGAGCCCTGAAAGGCAGATCTAAAATAAGATATGTTGTAGAATGGCCTCAAAGGAGCGTTAATATCGCTGTACTTCGATGCAAAACCAAATACTGACAGAAATACGGATAGCACTGGTCCCAAGAAAACGGCAATCTGAAAAAAAAATGTATTATTCAACTAAAACAGAAATAAGTTAATTTATCTATTGAATGAATTTAAAACTTTTAAATGTCATATAAATTTATTAGAATCAAAATCTAATAATAATAATACTTTATTTATTCTGGGACGAGTCCCTTTAGAATAATAAAGGAAGACAGAAAAATGGGCTAAGGAGCCTCAGAGATACATAAAAAAAAATATAGAGTAATTGAACAGTCTTGGTGAAAAAAAAATAAATACATATATACACACATATACATATAAGTTGCTTTCCAATTTTGATCAGTTGATAATAAAAAAATAAAAAAATGGATAAAAAAAGTTAGAGTACAAATAATAAGTCCATTTTTTTTAAATTTTACAGCAGGAATAAAATTATCACGGTTTAAATAACATCAATTGGGTTTTTAAAGTGGTCTTGTGCCAATTCCACACTAGCGATCAAATATTTGTAAAATATGAAATAAAAAAAGCCAATAAACTTTTTAAAAAATAGTAAAAAAAAAACTAGCTCCTTCCTTTCCAGAAATATTTATTTTTCCGAAGAGAATTAATATTTTTATTCTTTAATTCCATTACTGATTCTTCTTCTAGGAAATAAAACTTCCTTTCTAATATATTGAATAGCAAGTATAAAGCAGTAATAATTTTAAAATAAATTATTTAGATAAAAATTAGGAACCCATTGGGATATTGGTTCGTCATATCTTTCGATGGTAGGTAAATAATGGGCAATGGCAAACACAAATCCTTTGATATATAAAAGAAAACTGCTTAGAAATGTCCGAACTCAACAGTAACTAATATTCCCAAATATTCTACCAACACAGTTGGACAAATGATTTCCCACTGATGAGAAGTATCCAGTTCAAAGCTATGAATTTTTGTATTCCAATGCAAGCTTACATAAGCAGAAAAATGTTAATTTCTATTAGACATAACTGGTATTTTAAATTTTAAGTTTTTTTCGATTATCTCGTATTTCACAATTTATGGAATATGAATTCTAGAAGTACAACCAAACCTATTTTAACCAGAGTAAGTCTGCTACGAAATAAATTTCAATCTACCCAGGCCGAATTTGAATTAGCATCGCAAGACTCAATAATGTTAAAATTTACACTTTAAAGCTCAGCCATCACAACCTCAAATTCTTGCCTTTTTTTTTGTGGCTATGTGGGGTTTTTCCAAAGCCAGGAGAGGGAGTGGGGGGATTAATATCAGAGTTAAAAGCCCCTCTTTCACCGGGGCTTTACTTATTTTTTTCATTGTATTGTATATATGCTATGAATGTGCCCCACTCAGATTCTAAATAAAATGCCCAAGTTCATTTGACGCATGGGCCGATTCCAAACAGAAAACAAGTTAAGACCAATTATTTGTTTTTTATCGAGGTAGTCATGTTTTGTATTGAATAAGAAGGAATTGTACAAAAACTGTTTAAGATAATTAAATTCCAAGTACACTATCATAAGGCGGACAATTTGTTTTTTGAGAAAACTTATTAAAATTGCCAAGCACGGAACTTCCTGGAGGTCTAATACGGCCGCTGTACCGCTGCAGTTACAGTACCCATACTCGAGCGGCATATCTCAGTAATCCCGATTCGTGAAATAATTCGGAGTAATAGTAGGCTTACAAAACCTCCTGATAGTCCCTTTTATAACTGAGCTTAGTAAATTTAATCAATGTTTTCTCAAAAAAAATTATTGTGTACTTTATGATAGTGTTTCTTATCATCGTATATCATCAGTTTACTAGGTTGTCGGACAAAGTTTATTTTACACACATGTTAGCCTGCTCGGCACCCCTGCCCCCAAAATTCTTATTTCTTAAAAAATGATGATTTGAGAGGAGGTAAAATTATTATCGGTCAAAATTTATTTCTTACCGAATCTTTCTTAAAGGAATCCCCTGTCAAGTGTCATAGTTGGCACTATCTTAGACATACTTTTTCCACTAAAAAATAAGAAACAAGAAAGGGTGGCATACTAGGGGCAAAAATAGAAACAATGGATCTAAAAGAGTTATTATTTAAAACCTTAACTTTATATTTAATATTTTGGGGAATCTATTGTTTTTTGTTTTATAAATTGTCTTTGTTAATTTATAAATATGTTGATATAAATGTTATAGCATTATGAATATAAATATGACTGCTGAGCATGTCATCACAAACTACTCTTTACTTTTGAGAGCCAAACTACTTAAGGTAACTGGTCACTAGATCACCACGGAAGACGATTTCTCTCGTAAGGATGGTAAGCAAGGATTAATACTACAAAGCTTTCCTGTATGAATGAAAGTAATTAGTTGGGATTAATCATTTTAACCTCCTTCAATGAAAAATAATAGGAAAACAATTGGAAGAATGAACAATTAACAGAAGAAATATTGAAAATAACATACAAAATTCTTTTTCTAAAGTATCCACGAGAGGTAGGGGAAACCAAGATGGAAATTGATAAATAAATATAAATTACCTCAAGTCATCAGTACAGGATCTTTAGCTGTTAAATTCCACTTTATTCAAATAAAATTATTTGTAGTAAAAATTGGTTATATCATGGGTTTAGGTCCTAAATGAATTATATGACAAGTCCAGAATGACGTAGGGATCACCCAAAAGAAATTTTATCTTTTATCCGAAAAAGCAACCAGCCCTCAAATATCAGGCCAAACCATTAGATTCAATTTATATTATATTATTATTGATAGTGTTTTTATCAGCTATATAAAAAATAATTAGTACTCACAGTAACAGGGAACAAAGCCCCTGACAGGAAACCTGTGGCTTGCGCAGTTAGGCAAATGGCTAGATTGAACATGAAGAATGTCGACACCCTTGCTGTTTCAAAAGGCTGAGCGGTCAAATAATAACCAGGTAATAAATAAGCGAGCGCACAAGCCAACTGAAACATAAATAACATTTTATTAATAAGTAAAAAAAAATATATTAAAAACTACATTCTCAATTTAAGAGTTTGTTGTAAAATGGAGACAGATCTTATTTTCAAAAAAATAATTTAAAATTTTCATTAAATTGATTTTAAAAATTTCTAAAAACTCTAAATTCTCAGTTATATGATAATTTTATTTTTGATCATTTTTCTTGATTATTCTTACACATAAAAGAGTATTTTTATTTTTTTTTTTTTTTTTTTTTTTTTTTTTTTTTTTTTTTTTTTTTAATTCGTAATCGCCTCTACCCTAGAGGGTCATTGGCGGCTAGTTTTCTATATTCTATTGTAGTGTTTCGTCTCTATTAAGTATCGCAGTAGGTTGGTGACTCCATCTTCGTTGTCTCTCAGTATCTCTTTTATTGTTGTTGGAAGTTTCAATTTTTGCCGAATGTCGTTGAACTCGTGGCACTCTACTAACAGGTGTTTTACTGACTGCGATTTATTGTCACACTTTTCGCACGTGGGTGGTTCTAGACCTCTAAGAAGGTACCCGTGGGTAAACAGGCAGTGACCAATTCTTATTCTACACAATATGGTTTCTTCTCTTCTGGATATTCTGGTGCTAGTAGCCCACTTGTTGCAGTCTCTTTTTATTTCTAATAATTTTGACTTTTCAGTTTTCCATCTATTTACCCAATTTTCCAATAACTTCTTTTTTGTTGCGTGAACCCAGTCCTCCACTGTGGTACAATCTATTGAAATTATGGCTGGTACCTCTCCCTTCCTTGCTAAGTTAGCTGCTCGGTCTGCTCTTTCATTGCCTGTGATGCCACAATGAGATGGAACCCAGACAAATATCACTCTGACCGTTCTTTCATTTAATTCCCACCATAGATTCAATATATCTCTTATAATTGAATTGCTTGGCCATGGGTTACCAATTGCTGTCATGACGCTTTTGGAATCTGATGCTATTATCCATTGATTGTCATTGGAATTTGATATCCAATGGAGGGCCTCCATGATCGCAGTAGCTTCTCCGGTAAATATGGAGCTCTCTCCAGGTAAGCTAAACAGAAGTTGGTGTTGGTTTTTATTAATATTTACAGCGCAGCCAACACTATTTTCCATTTTGGAGGCGTCGGTATATATCACATTATATCCTTCGTATTTCTCCAATAATTCAAAAAAGTAGTTTTGGATATCCAGTGGGTATTCCTTGTTACGTCTTGTCATTGATACATCTACAGTCGGTCTACTGTTCTTCCAGTTAGGGATTTTAAGGTTAGGGATGCGTCTAATTGTGTTCAAATCCATGTTCACATTATATAGCGTTTTATAAATCATTTGTTTAAATATGCTCTTCTCTATCTCCTGAAGTCCTCGCCTACCAGATCTTTCATCAAATAGTTTTGAACTCAAGGGGTGTTGTGGACATGCTTTTAATTTGGATACATATTTCATTGATAAATACATTCGTCTCATCTCTAATGAGGGTTCTCCAGATTCGGCATATATACTTTCGACTGGAGAAGTTCGGAAAGCTCCTGTGCAGATTCTAAGAGCCGAATTGTGGATGGAATCAAGCATTTTTAGCAACGTTTTGCGACCTGTTCCATATATTTGGGCTCCATATTCAATTTTACTTCGAATCACACTATGATATATTTGGATGAGTGTCTTTCTATCGGCTCCCCAGCTTGAATGGGCAATGCATTTAAGAAGTCCAATTCTTCTTGTACATTCATCTCTTAAGTGTTTTATATGATGAACCCAAGTCAGTTTCTTATCAAGTATCATTCCCAAGTATTTATAGTTTTCTACATACTCGATAATGGAGTCTCCTAATTTTATATGAGGGTCTACACGACATTTTCGTTGTCTGCAAAAATGGATACTTTTGGATTTCGTAGCTGATAGTTTGAACCCAGTTTCCTTCGTCCAATTTTCCATTTTTTCAACAGTATCTTGTAACTTCCAGTGGATGAACGCTAAAGATTTGCTACGCGCTGAGATTACTATATCATCAGCGAATAGCAAACATTTAGTGTGGCTCTGAATAGCGGATGTGATACCGTTAATTGCTACGAGGAAGAGTGTCGAGCTGAGGGGTGAACCTTGTGGAGTGCCATTTTCCAAAGAATGACTGGAGGAGAAAGTGTTTCCTACTCGTACACAAAATTTTCTGCCAGTCAAAAAGTTTTTGATGTATGTCCACATATTCTTTCCAATACCCAATCTTGCCAAGATTCTTAATACACGGCCTCTTGCCATTCTATCGTAAGCCTTTTTATTTTTAAAATACTTAAATACAACTAATTTTATTGACAATGCAATACAAGTCTGATTGTTGCATCTACCTCTTTTTTAAAACAAAACAGATGTTCTATCTACTTCCTAAAAATAATTTATTGCAAAAAAAACTAGTAAAATGAAAAAAAATTTGTGTCTAAAAAAATCTTTTATTAAAAATTCAAGAGGATCCAGAAATTTTAACTAACCTGAAGAGGAACTTCTACCAAGAAAAGAGCCAGGCAATACGGAAGTAACGAATACCATCGATTGAAGTGTTCTCTCGTTAAAATTGCATATTCTAGAGGAACTAAAACATAAAAATTCAAAATTAATCATTAGCATAAAGCAAAGTTTTTTAAAACTAAATTATAAAAAAATACATTGAGCTTACGAATGTGCAAATGTATTTTCAACTATATCCCGATAATTCAAAATAGCTTATTCCATTTGACCTAAAGTTGGAAGAAATTGGGGTAATAATGTAAAAATGGTCTTATTTTGATTACTATTAAATAATAAAAATTAATATAATAGTTAAGAATATATTGGCTATTAAATGCGATAGGGTCAACGCATCAGTTATGGATAGGTTGGACTTTAAATGTAAATAATAAGTACCACAATATTTCACCAATAAAAGTATCTTTAACAAGAAAAAAATACTTTTTTTTAATATATCATATAACATTTCGGCTTTTATTTAGCTATTTTCAGATATTCCAATTTAAAAAATAAAATAAAAATACATTCTTAGAAACTGTATAATATACTACCTACTGGAAGTACCTTATAGTGAATATGATTTCTTTAAAGTTCGTATAAAATCAAACTGTTTTTATTTTCTCTCTTTTTATCACATTTATCTACTATCATTTTATCCAATTAAAATCCAGTTTTTCTGCAAATTACTTGGCTAGTAATTAAAAAAAAACTTCTTAAGAAAATATTAGGGTGAACGCATCAGTTATGGATAGATCGGGCTTTAAATGTACATAATAAGCTTCATTGTTGATTTAAAGATTCCAGTTTTTTCTGGATTGAAGAACAACTTTATTGACAATTGTATGAATAAAGTTCCCGAAAAAAAATATTAAAATGCCTATCATTGTTGTTACTATAGTGCTCTTGAGATCAGTGTGTTTCATATCTTCCTATTAACAGTTTTGCTAAGATTAAGTTGAACATTTATCTTATCTTATCTTTATAGTTAAATAAAGACTATAGAATTTTTCTCAGGTATGTCCATTACTGATACCGACCCCCTTCTATTAATAGAACAATTGAATTTTGGTGTGTCCATCACTAGTGCAAAAAAGTGCTTTTTTATATGGAGCTTATACCTGCATAACTGATTTTTTTTTTTCAATTTTGAAGTGCTAAATATAAAAAGGAGACCCTAGAGATTCTAAATGTCTAACAAAGAAATTTATAAATATAATAATTATGGCAGCATAAGCCAAAGGCAGTAAACAAATGATAATGGAAGGTTATAGAACTTTCTAAACTTGATGCAAATTATTAGAAGTATTTTTATTGGATTATTGAATTCAGTTTTAAATAAAATTATAATTTCTTTTTTTTTTTTTTTTTTTTTGCAGCATAAGTGCACTACGGCTATGTAGGCCTATTGTATGCCCAGTTTAAAGTAACATCAGTTTAGAGTGTGATTCCTGCAGTATATATGAACTGCAATAAACTTGTTGGATTGATAAGTTTGTTTGCCTTTGGATCTTTCTTCCTGTCAGGTCCGAATAAACGAAATCTTAGGCCAGCAAACCCATCGCACCAGCAAATGAAATGATACGCTGTCTCATCCTCCCGGCCACAGTACCTACAAAGAGATGAGTCTGTGAGCCGGAGTCTGAACATATGATAATTCAGTTTACAGTGCCCTGTATATGCTCTGCTGTAATTTCTTCAGTGAGCTCCTGCTCAAATTAATTAGTAAGTTAGTTCTTTTTTGGCAGATTCCTTCCAGAAACAGTCTAGAGTGGGTCTGTTTTTTCAATAACCAGTTCCTTTCGTTTTCAACACCATATATCTCCCCGATTCTGTTTGTTGTCAGACACTGACTAATACCACATATGGGTTCCGGAGCTATGGGTGTCGTTTGAGAGCCTTGTCTGGCTAGTTCATCAGCCATTTCATTACCATGAATTCCCGAGGGACCCGGAACCCATTCAATGTATACCTTATTAAGTCTAGATAATTTGTTGAGAATTCTAACACAATCCCCAACTACCTTGGATCTAGTTGTATAGTTATCTAGTGCTTGTATGGCCGCTTGACTGTCGGTATATATTGCTATTCTCCTCCCAGCTAACCCGTCAAGCAGCATTTTTGAATCACAGTGAGTTATTGCCAGTATTTCAGATTGAACCACTGTTGCATAAAATTATAATCTTAGTGAAGTATATGCGATTCCTTATAAAATAAAAATGGTGAGGAAGCTATGAATGTTGATTTATATGGCAGATGGTTTTAAGGTGCGTTTAAGCATTTCACAAACTGTCAGAAACACAATTATCTAACCTAAACTAACAGCAGCCTTACTGCTAAACCAAACTATTTATTTTATTTCTCTTAATACCGAGAGCAAATGGGAATTATCAAAACAAGAAAAAAATACTAGGATTTCAAAAAAAACATTTATATATTTAAAGGAGATGGTCCAGGGTGGCGGTCATAAATAGGTTGAGTTAAACTGAGTTCTAAGTGAAGCTCCTAGCTGAACACACCTCTCTGAAGAAGGCCTGCAGAGTCGGGCCAAAACATTGGCTTTTAATAAAATAGTTTTGCCACTATTTAGCATATTTATGACCACCACCATGGACCATCTACTTCCTTTATAATGCAATGGTCAACTATTAAATATTGGTTTATATATTTCTTTTTCCCTTAAGTTTGTGAAATGCCTAAATGCACCTTTAGATTAGCAGCAATCTACTAATAATAACAATCGATGTCACCATCCTCTAGTAGTAAAAAATAATTTAAATAAATAAACTTTATACTTACAAGAAAGCAAAACAGTCATTTGACCAGTGTAGTGAAGGAATAGGTTACTTCCGTAAACAAAAATAAAATTTGCCAATATAGTCTGAGCATTGTTGCCGACATTCTGGTATAAGTAACCAAATATAACCCCGATAAACAAATGACAAATCAGTCTTAATAAAATCTGAAACTGTAAAACAAAATTGTAAAATTAAGAGTATAATTAAAAATATAAGTTAATTTAATTTTTAATCAGTAAGAATTAACTATTCCCTCTAATAATAAAATATATCAAAAATGGTATAGAGATAATTGACCGTATTCTAATTTACGGAGAAGTTGGTCAGAGATGCGATTAATAAGCATATACTATATATTGTAGTAGTGTTTATTTATTAATATATTATACTGTTTTATATTTCTAGAAGATCAGGATTTTAATTATATATAATATGAGATGAAGAACACAAACTGTTTTAATCTTTTATGTTTTTTAAATGGAAAAATTAAAGAAAAAGGTACAGCATGATAATAGTTGCATGGTAACTAGAAATTATGTATGTATGAATTATTAATATTACTGATTACTGATGATGTAAAGTGATAATAAAGATTAATACGGCGCAGGTCAATGAAAGCTTCTCTGGATTTAAGATGTAAAATAAAATAATATAAATTATAGAGAGACTGTTCATAGGTAAAAATTATGATATTCATTAAACGCTACTATAATATATAGTGTAGTACCCCCGACCAACTTATCCTTAAAATAAAATATAATCTATTAGGCTGAATGATAAAAATTCTCTTCTGTCCAGGGTCTGATTAAATAAATTGTTGAACTATTTCAACTTTGAACTATTTTGTAATTTGATCTCAAATAACAATCAAATAATAAAATTTGCCAGTAATGAACATAATAATTAACCATGGGTGTGAATATTAGTCAATATATTATACAACCAGTTTTAAAGTTTGGTTGTGTTTGCATTGATATGGAATAGTTTGTGAGTAGACTAAGCGATCAAATTGCACATACTCTATAGTGTTATGCTTTTCATAGTCAACAATAATTAATAACAAAGTTTACAAAAATGTACCTCAGCAATGTAATGCATGTGGAAAATCAAATCAGACAGCTACGAAAATTCAAATAATTGAACCTGATGCCTTGATATATTGAAAAAATAATAGCAAATATCAGAATGTGCTAGAAAAAAAAGTAAAATAGGGGGATGGTCCGAGTGGGCTAACGTGTGTGCACAACACCTGATAACCGAAGTTTCAGATAGAAAAAAAATTACAAGTTCCAATCCCGGTTGGACTTTTAACTCCGCATAATTTCTCCGCCGTCTCCCCCAGCCTGGGAAAAACCCCGTGTAGCCTTAAAGGCAAGGAGAGATAAAAAAAAAAAATACTAAAATTCAGTTATGTTTATTTTAATTTAATATAATAATATTATAAGTTTATATAATACAAATTTTCTCTTCCATGATAATCTTTATTACATTCTTTTGTCTAACATTTGGACTATGGAAAACATCCATCCAAGAAAAAATATATTTTATTTTGAACTTAATTAGCAAATTAAAGACAAATATTTTTAACATGCATTATAAAACAATAAGATGGATGAAAGATCTAGTAACAATTAAATTAAAGTATTTTATAATAGAAAACTATTAAATAAATATAGTCTTGTAACCTGTGTTATAGATCCATTTTTATCTAATTAATAACATCTGTCAGAAACTTCGTTAAAAGCTTTATCTCATCGTAACCTACAACTATTTTATTTACGAAAATTCTAGGAATCGGAACGTTTTCAATCTGGAGATCGGCAAACTTTGTCTATTTAACTTAGATATACAAACTCGTAATTACCCATTTACTTTCCACTTGGATAGTTAGATAATTTTATAATAATTGTTATATTGTTTTTAACAGTTTTGAATTGTCTTTGATGACCGATGAGTAACCTAAAATGTTAGAAATTATGAATAGAATAAAGATTATCATAGAAGAGAAAATCGTATACCTAGAAAAAAAAGAAAAACAAATATACCTAGAAATATTATAAATCTTTCCATGAATAAAATAAAATATCCAATAATAATACAATAGAATGTAATAATTGCAACTTGGTTCTAATACTTACATAATCTCTTCTTACGACGATAAGATTTCTGTTATATAAATGGAAAAACTGCAACCACATTGAAGCTGGCTTCGGCAGACATTTTGCACTGACTAGATCATTATCTGATGTTTGTTTGATCTTCTTTCGACTTTGTAAATTATACAATTCAATTCCTAAAATAAAAACCATTGTTATAAACCAAGCGATAAATAATAATTAGATTATGTTATGAAATACTTTATAAAATTTATAATATCAAGGAAAACACTTTATTCTACTCTTATGCCATTATCCCATGCTTTAATTCATTTAATTTTCTTGACAACGTTTCGGGCAATTTTGCCCATTTTAAAGTCAAATATTTATATCTGTAATGTAATTACACAATAATTATAAATATATATGTAAAAAATATAACAACACATAAAAGAACAATAAACGAAAATTCCAATGAATCAATGAATTCAAATCAATGAATGATATCTCTACTTACATCATAATTATATAATCATACTTTTTTATGTAATTATTGCAACATTTATCTCCTCAAAATCCTTCAAATTACAGAGCATTTTCCTCGATATTGTAAATTTTATTATTAATATATACGTTTGAAAAATTTTTGAAGATTAAAGGAATAAATAGTTTATTTTAATAAGAATGTAACATTGAAACTTGAACAATTTATTTGTTACATTCAACAAGAATATATGTATTTAAATCAGTATTTGATAGGATTAGTCTAAAACTAATAAATACATATTTATAAATGTATAACAAAAATATTACGTGGACTTAAATAGATATTTTACTTTTTGCATTGGACTCTCACTAATCTGAAATAATTAAAACTAAGGAGGTTTAGATTAGTAAAAAATTCGGATTACCAAACAGGGAAAAAAAAAAGGTCACTTCATATACAGGGTGTTTCAGGGTTATGTGGCTAAACTACAAAAATGAACTAAGGACCTCAAAACAAGAAAAAAAATATCCTCTGAAGATATGCCCGCAAACACTTTATTTAGAAGATATTCACGCCTAAAGATTTTCGTTGTGATGAATTGTTTACGTTATATGAAATCAATAAAACCTATTTATTTGTTCAAATTACTTTATTAATTAAATTTAAACATTAAAATTCATATTAAATGTTGTTCAAAGTGAAGATATGTCCGCAAACGCTTTGTTTAGGAGATGGATTAGATAAAATACTAATATGGCATTTTATCCCCAACTGTATAAAAACTATTAGCAATATAAGGATTAATACTATTTGGAATTAGCTTTGGGAACTCCCAATAATATTGTATCATAAGTTATGTTTGAGGTGAGTTATAGGGTTTTTATTATATAGTGTTAGTTTGTTTGGTTCGATGTCTAACATCCAGGTCATCAGCGCCCGATCAACTAAATTACACTACTTTTATACTGTTCAGGTGGGTTGTACAAAAAATAAAAATAAAAAAGGAAAAAAACAAAAAAAAAGGATAAAATTAAACTAAAAAAATTAATAGAATAAAATAAATAAATAATGATAATAATATACACTTATAGATTATAAGATAGAACAGATAAATAAAGAAACTAAAAAAAAAATAGCAATAACATTAATAAATGAATTGTAATTGATAAATAAATGAACTTTTAGAATAAAAAAAAAAATAAAATAATAAATAAATTTTGCAAAGGATTGTTAGTTATAAACTTGTCATATATGTTTTATAATTTTTTCATTGTCTAGAAACTTCAAAACTTTTGTAAGGATTTCTCCTTGATTTCCCAGGGATGCTGATATATTCTGGGGTATTCCGAGATCTTTTAACCTTGCGGTGTAAAAAGGACACTCTACCAAAACATGTTTTATAGTTAATGACTCGTCACACTTTTGAAATCTGGGGTTAAGATTATTTGTTATGAGGTGAAGGTGTGTCAGTCCAGTATGTCCGATCCTCAGCCGCATGAGGACGACCTCTTCTCAACGAAATTTGGAGCTGCTCCACAGTGAAACCTCTTTCTTTATTGTCTTTAATTTGCTAGATGTGCTGTTTTCCCACCGTCTTTGCCATTCTTATATCCCAAGATAGGGATATGGTTTCTCTTAGAGGTCGTGCAGGTTCAAATGGTGTCAAAAAATATTATATAGTGTATAATAGCTTAATTTAAATGAAATAAAAATGTATTTTCAGAAAATCCAACAATACCTTTTTCATCCGCATTGTCATTTTTGTCTAAACAAATCGCTCTTTTGAGTGCTAAATTATCTGCTGCTTGAGCCAGGCTATCCAGATCTCTCGGGTAATCACCAGAGGCTACTTCAATCACTATAACAAAAGTAAAAATAAATAAATAAAAACAAAATAGTTTTTGTGTTCAAATATAAAAATTTTACACAATTATAATATTGGTATATAATCATTAATTAAATGTTAGGAGAAAAAGAAGCACACTATGATTTCAAATTGTTAAAAAAACAAATCAAAGAAGAAATTCCAGAGTTGAATAAATATAAACAGGATCTATACCCAAAATCTTTTTATGGAATTTCCTGACTTTTTAAGATTTTGAAAAAAATCCATACAACTAAGATAGTTATAATAGGATTATAAGAACATGATCCTTAATACAGATATCCTTTATCGAAATCAAAGTATTGAAAGTTTTTCTTCAGAGACAATGAAACAATTTCTTAATAAACAATTTCAGGAATACAAACTGTTTATACGAGGTGTGTTAATATGAAACCAGAATTCATCCATTAATGACTTTAGTTGTTAATGTAGTTCCCGCTAAACCGCTTCAATTTGTTTCTTTAACAGCTGACAAAGATTTTCAACTCACAACAATGTGAATTTCATATAAAAGCATTGTTATAACAATCGTTGAACAACATTTATCGTTGAACATGTCAAGTTTTTTGCTAACAAATAATGATTTGTAGACAGCACTAGGTTTCTGTTAAAATTTAAAATGACCATGCTTTGAGTGGTTTAAAAAAAATCAAAAATGGCGATCTTGACCTGAGAAATGAACAACGTGGAAGAACTGATAAAGTTTATGATTTATTGTAAGCTGCTAAAATGTGGCAAAATTATTAATACTAAAGACTATCAACAACAAATGATCAATTTTAAACATGCATTCCATTAAAAAAAACATTATAATGTACCATCAAATACAGTGAAACCAGCAAAAACAACAATTTAGGTGTTCAGTTGAGAAATATTAATGCATGTAGCTTACTCAAAACAAAAATATGGCTGTTAAACACCATAGTAAAACTAGTCCTGGACCACGACAATAAAATTAGCACTGGTCTACGACAGTGAAACATGGAAGGTGACTGAAAACGTTATTCAACCGCCGCATGCGAGGAATCCTGTGGATCTGGTGGCCTGAGAGGAACTCTAACGAAGAGCTCTGGAGTACTACGGAATATCTTTCTATCCATCTCGAAAAGAGAAAAAAGGAATGGAAATAGATAAGATACACTATGAGGAAAGCAGACAGAAAGTTTGAAAAAAGGAGCTTTGCAATCGAATCATGGAATAAGAACGTAGAGAGACATGGGGCAGATCTGTTCAAAATGACTTGGGCCAGGTTGGCAAAACTTGGCCAGAAGCAACATTTTTCTGCCATGCCATTTATAAATTAACAGAGAAATGAGGAAAATGTATAGCTAGCAATGGGAAATATTAAAAATATATCGGCTTCATATTTATACACCTTGTATATCATCATATAAACTCATTCTGATAAATAATGATTTTGAATAATAACAACAAATTTTAGTTCATGTCCCATAGCTTGTGAAATTTCCTGAATACTCCTGATTTAAAATATTCCATGACTTTTTGAGAGTCTTCAGGAAAATTATTTCACAATTTCAATTAATAATTTTAGCTTTTAAATGTTTGTTTATACCGGAATAAGGATTATTTACAGTTTAAAAAAAAATGGTTTGTTACTCACAGAAGTCTGCAGGGTTGTGATACTGAGGACAGACCAGACCAAACGACTGGAAGAAGGAAGTCATGGCAGCCGGAGGACCTTGGTAGATGCATTGCCCTTCAGCCACGCAGTAGAGGTGACTGAACTTGGAGAAGAGCATCGCTGACGGTTGGTGCAGAGTGCAGATCATGGTCCTCCCCTGCTCGGCAAGCTGCTTCAACAGATCAACGCACGATGTAGTCGAGACACAGTCCAAGCCACTGCAATCAGAAAAATCAATTTTAAAATTATTTAAATATTATTTTTTTAAAGATGTTCTTATGTTGGTACTTTTGTTTTAAATAATCATTTAAAAGGTGATTAAATTTCTATAGTTAAAATTGGACAATTATTAGCAAAGATACATCCTATTGGAATTTGTCCAAATGATTTGGTTAGGGATTTCATCAATATAACACACCTTACAAACTTCAATCAATTTATTATCCACTAGCTGAGGTATCCATTGTTGACGGGTAAATAGTTAAAATTTTAGAACCTTTTTTTGAGATGAATTGTGTATTATGGGGGGGATCCAAATTAAATTTCATAAAATTGGGCGGGGGTGTTGTTTTGGAATTTTTTATGCCTGGGATTATGGAAGTCAAGGTTTCGCAATAGTCATAATAAAAACTTTGTTATTCGGCTATTTGTTTAGGTCCCACACAACTAAAGAAACTAGCACTGATCCATTAAAATTTTTTAAGTGTTTAATTTTCATTTATGATGGATCGAGGAGATTGTGAAGTCGATTGAAATAATCAAAAAGAGTTGAAGTCTCTCCACTTCTTTAAGCTCTGCTGAGTTTATCGCTCACAAAATAACCAAAGTAATATTGGACATTGAGTCACCTACATCCGTGTAAGATTAGAACTGGATCTGAATATTGTGGCGGGCGGGATGAAATTTTTGGAAGTTTTTTCTCCCTGATTTCTGGCTAATCCATTTGGTTAATCCTAAAAATGTATACAACAACATTTGTTAGGCTCAGGAAGTTGAATCGAATGACACCTTGATGGGGAAGTTAAAGTTAAAAAATGAGTGTGTTTTAAGCGATAATGCATACACATCTTCGGTATTTCAGATTTTTCACATTGAGTTGTGATAATTTTTTCCATCGATTGACTAGTAGAACTCTTAAATGTGGCTCAGGGTAGAGTAGGTTGGGATTAGATTCAAAGTAACTGCCTAACCGGGATTTCTAGACAAATTACTCAAGATTTCCTAACTTTAGTTATACTAAATATTTTGTTTTTATTTAAAGCCTATGTTTTAAGTCAAGCAAACTTAAATATAATGTCAAAATTTCAAAAGTCTGTAATAAGCCATTGCTGAGCTTACCCCTGACAAAATTTTGTTGGACAATGCGGACTTACAGACAGACAATGTTTTTTTTAAAGTGGGTTTGGTGTCTGTAATGTATGAAACAGAAAGATATCATGAAACGGGTTAATTCTATTCAATGTTCAGACGCAACCTTTATTTTATTTATATAAATTACACCTATTTCAGATCTTTTTCAAGTCTATTTTTAAGTGTAAGTCTATATACAAAATATCTGGTGTGTCCACTCACATGACTTTCCTACCTATTTCAGAAAAGTTTTTATATCTTTACATATGTTCATGAAGAAACAAAAAAGAATTGAACTAAATTTATTTTCCTGAAAATTAAACAAACAAAAGATTTGAGTACGATTTATTTGATAAATTAAGGCAATGAAACCAGCTTAAGGTAGATCAGTGTAAAAAATTCAATACTCACTAATATTGCTGATCAAAAACTTTTTTCCATAGCTTAGAATTGTCAAACAATATTTTTTGTTAAAAGTAGAGGAAATAGTGAAGGTTATGTGATGGAGGGAACAGAATTTCTTAATTTCACTTAGTCATCTTTATTCTCTTATTCACCCCTTTCTGACACCAGGAAATGAACTCGAAATATTTCATTGGGAATTGAATGTAACTTCGTTAATAACTGTCCAAAATGAACGATTTTTATATGGCCTTGTAGGGAATGTAATTACCTTTCAAACGATAGGCTAAAAGCCGTGTTTTTCGGACTCAGGGAAAGTTTCAAAAGTTTTATTATAAATTTCAACGTATAATATATACATAGTGAGTTAGGCCCCATAACATTTTTCTTTTCCTTCTAACTTTTTTTCCTGAATTTTTTAGAGAATTCAGTTTATATACGAAAGTTGAAAGAACAGTGATTAGAACATTATAGGAAAGTTTCATCAAAATCGTTAGAGCCGTTTTTGCGCTACAGTCTATAGAAAAACATGTTTTTCATTTATTGCGCGCAAGCTATTACGCATGGAGCAATGATTATCTGTCACAGCCATCAGTAGTCGAAACCCTACAAAATAAAAAAAGAAGCAACAAAATCGGTTGAGTAGTTCCCGAGAAAATCTTGGCACAGGCAGACAGACCAATGGCTTAAAATGTGTTTTTCGGACTCAGGGGGCTGTGAAACATATAGATCCGTTGAAAACCACATGTCGGAAATTTGACCCGATTGCAATACTTTCCTTACCTAGTATAGGTAATACCCTGAATAAAAATATTTGTTCTAAACAATTATATAATTAGAATACTTTAAACCAGCGGTTGAAACTTTTTTAAAAAGTTACATTTTAACAGTTTCTCTAAAACTTTTTTGGAAAAAGTCCTTAAAATAAAAGTTTTAAATGCAGTACTCTTAATAACTATGAAATAAATGTTTTTATATAAAATGATAATATAATTTGTATGTGTTATGGATTTTGGGTTGAAAATGGATTCAAAAACATGCTAATTACTATAAATTTACTATTGATAAATTATAAAAAAGTAAAATAGAATTGACTCACGTTGTAGGCTCATCCAAGAATATCACGGGTGGATTGGTGACCAATTCCAAAGCAATGGACAGCCTTTTCTTCTGACCTCCGGAGAGGTCTTTGCAGTAGGTTTCAGCTGACTTCGCTAGACCAAGCATACCCAGCAGTTCTGAAACCTAGATACAATGGCTCAGTTAATATTTCATTATAAATAAATAAACAGACAATAATAATATATAATTTAAAACTAATATATTTTATAGAGGTCAAAATCGCTTTAAGAGGGATTTTTCATATAAGAACCAAGAACTTTAGAGCCTGAATTTACATCTCAATTGTGACAACAACAAAAAATCTCTATTAATCACCATCTGATTTTTAAAAATTTTGTAGGAAGTTAAACTTTTATATTTATTTCATTTAATTTTTTTTATTCTTAACTGTTTTCATTATAATTTTATTATCCTATAATAACAGAACATATCTTCTTTTTCTATATTCTAAGGAATATAGTTTAGAAATCTAGATGTCTGATTGACTTTCTTTTTAATAGATAATAAAAATCTGAAATGTTATTGTCTTGACAACTAGATTTCCCAAGATAATGAGGTTGAAGTGAAAACCACACAGATCAAGGTTTGTCTGTGGCTACATTTCTAAATCATTGAATCTTGACACCATGAAGTTACAAAACCATTCAAATATCCATAATCAATCTTATTTCATAATATGAAAATTATATAATCCTCAAACCAAAGATTATAATATTCTATTATTATTTTTTGAACAGCCACAGGAAAATCAATATACATTATACATAGTTAATCAAACATATGAGAGATTTATTGTTATGTTTATAAGCCAAAACATTTTAAAACCATTAATCTATAGATAAATACAGGTTTCTAAATATCTGAAAATGAATTGAATTGCCTTCAGTGTTGAAAAGTTGAATTAACAGAAAAGGCACAAATAGTATAACTGTTTATTTAAATACTATTGTTGTAAGAATGGCTAATAAAAATTAAAGCATTTTCACAGAAATAAACTTCATATGTTAATAAAACAATGACCATGTTTAATAAGATTAGACTCAAATATTGAAGGGGTTAATAGACCCATGATACCAAAGCCTAGGAGTTCAAGGGACCCGATAAAAATAATAAATAAGATTTTATAAATTAAGTATGTCATATAATATATTCACCATCATAATAGATGTATCTACATCCACACACAAATATATAATTATATATTTTACATGAAATCCTGAAAAATCTCAAATCAAATCTGTGTACAATGCTATGATAAAGCCAGTTCTAATATATGGCCTTGAAACCTAGATACTAACCAGTACCATAGAAAAAAATTGTGGAAAGATTTGAGAAAAAAGTCCTCTGCACAAAAACCGAAGCGATCTGAGAGAAAAGACCAATAAAGAACTACTTACAGAAACTGGTCAATCAATATTCCACGATATGAAGGTATGGAGGTTAATATGGGTAGGGCATGTAGCTCGTAGTATTTTATCTGGAAGCCTCTATGTAACAATGAATGCCTCAATAGAAGGCAAAAGACCACGTGGAAGGCCAAAAAGCAGAAGGATAGATAGAATCAACAAAGATGTAATAGAGCTCGCATGCAGATAAATGGAAAAAAATAGCCCAAGACAGAAAGAGATGGAGCAGGCTTGTTAAGGTGACATAAGATCTACGTAGTCTGTAATGCGAACAGAAAAAAAAAAAATATATATATATATATATTTATCTTTTGCATAGAAAAGGGTCAAGACTAATATGTTGATATATGTTGGTATTGATATAAATACTAATGTGATAGAGTGGTTAGTATTTTTGTTTATTTAAGTGTCAATTGCTGATTTTCATTGTAGAAAAATGACAAAAGTGAGTTACTCACGAAAGCTAACTATGTGGATTGTTAAATAAAAACTATTTTCCCACTACATCCAGGAAGGAACATTTATTTATTTTGTTTGGTAATAAACGATTATTATTGTTTATTTAATTTTAGATTATTCTCTATTCTTACATCCATCTAAGTTTATATGGAATGATATTGATTGTTTATGCTAAATAAATATGATATTTGAAAATGAGTTGGTCTGTGGAGCAGTCAATACTATAATACAATATACTTTAATAGTATTTTATTAGATTTGCCTACATTTCGACCAATGTTGTAGGTCTTCATGAGGGGTACAAAAGATTCAAACTATAAATATTAATATGAGAAGGAGTTAGTCAAGGGTGCGGTCAAATAAATAAAAAAAAATTAAAATATATAATAATAATAATAAAATATATAAAATTATTTTAATTTTTGCCTACGTTTCGACCCACTTTGCAGGTCGTCTTCAGGGCTACAAAAGATACAAAACATGTTGAAAATAAAAAATAAATATAAGTATATATAAAATATGAAGAAGTTGTCAGATACAGAAATAAAAGATGGTATCAGAGATATAGTGGGTGACAATGTAGTTAAATATTAATAATTATATATGTAGAAGATACAAATAAATGGAAAATAAGTAGGAATAAAAATAAAAATAAAGGAGAATATAGCATAATATAGAATATAGAGAATATAGTATATAGAGAATATATTATATAGAATATAGAATATAGAGAATATATTATTTTTATTTTTATTCCTACTTATTTTCCATTTATTTGTATCTTCTACATATATAATTATTAATATTTAACTACATTGTCACCCACTATATCTCTGATACCATCTTTTATTTCTGTATCTGACAACTTCTTCATATTTTATATATACTTATATTTATTTTTTATTTTCAACATGTTTTGTATCTTTTGTAGCCCTGAAGAAGACCTGCTAAGTGGGTCGAAACGTCGGCAAAAATTAAAATAATTTATATATTTTAATTTTTTTTATTTATTTGACCGCACCCTCGACTAACTCCTTCTCATATTATATCAACGGTCAACCATCTCTACATCATCATAAATATTAATGGTACAAAATAAAATTAAATGAATTATCAGTAAATATTGAATATATACATGTTAACAGATAAAAAATTAAATAACTATAAGATAACTAAGTAATGTAGTGTGAGTTTTTTTTTTTTTTTGTTGTTGAAAATTTTGTCTTGAATCAACCCTCCAGAATCTGGCCGTTAAAATCCTATATATAATTCACTAAATCACATATCAGCACCAAGTTAAACATTCTCACATTCGTTACTTTAACATAGTAACGACGGTATGTTATCCTATGTTTCTTTTTCTTTTTTTTCATTGATATTTACAACTGTAGTATAAAAAAAAATACAACTAGTAAATTTGCACTCAGGAATATAATAACATTAAATCTCTTGTTGAGAAACTACCCACTGGTAGCACTTAATGTTTTTTTAAAATTTCTTTATCTAGTAATCTGTACTTTTTTATTATCTACTGTTAATTCATTTAGTTTTACCTTGTATCATTAATATTTATAGTGTGAATCTTTTGTAGCCCTGATGAAGAACTACAATGTAAGTCAAAACATTAACAAATCTAATAAAATACTATTGCAATAAATATTACTATGATTTGATCTCGACCACTATCGAATCCAGGATTTAATTTTGGGGGACTTCAGCCCAAAAGACTTTTTTTCATATATGCAACGATAATTAATTTGAAAAAAAAAAAGAAAGAAATGAACTACCTATATGAAATGGTGTATAAGTGATTCTTGAAGTCCTATTAAATGTAATTACACGAACAATAATACTTTAAGAGATAGTTTTAGTATTTTTTTCTATAAAACATGGTTATATTTTACCATTTTGGTAAAACTTCAACCCGAAAGCACCCTCCCCCCCCCCCTAAAATCCGCCTGTGATCCCGACCAACTCCTTCTCAAATTATAATCATGGTCAACCAACTCCACACCATTATGATATTTGGTTTAATTAATATTTACGATCCATCCTTTGGAATATAGATATTCAGATCCCGGCCTTAATGATAAATAACATTTTTAAGATTCGGAGAACATCGAATTCGTATCACCTTGATCCACTTAATTCAACATTACTCTCCATTAATTCGTATTTTTTTTTAAAAACATTACATGTAATATTGAACAAAAAACATAAAAGAAGAGTCTTAAGTTCTGTCGATAATAACTATAACCCACGCACGTAAAACTGGATAATATTTCGACATTAAAATAACCTTTGGAACTGTAACAGGTCCCGAGGAAGATAAATCACCGGTTCCGCCGTTCCAAGGTCGCCGCTCGGCTACTGTGTCACTGGGTCATTGCGTACTCGTTCCTAGCTCTGGTCTCGGTATTATGTTATTAGCGTATTAGTAAACTAATTATATATTATTTTACATAAATGTTTCAATGTCACAGGTACCTGAGGACCGATCAGTACTCGTTAATATTTAAACTATTTAATATAAGTAGTCTTTATTTAATTGCATTACATGAATAAAAAAAAATACAAAAAAATAATATAATAAAATAATAATATAAAAAAAAAAAAAAATTGATATCTTATTTTAGTTTAACTTGAGGAACCATAGGTATCTTAATACTTCGGAACTGCGATGTAGGTTTCCCCTCTCCCCATCTCCATTTAATATTTATTTTAATCAAATGGCAATATTTTATGGAATTCCAAAAAAAATATTCTTTTATTTCAATAGTTAATTTAACAAAGAAATATCATATGATAATTAACTTTAGATCACCGAAATTAAATTCAAAACAAACCACGATTTGGCACCTGGAATTTAAAATCTCCTTAAATTCACTTTTATTTTACAAAAAAATATATATAAATTCTTGTCCTTAATTTCGTAAATTACAAAAAAACATTCATGGGCCACAAAATTTGTGAAACAGAAAAAAACAAAAGACATTTATTAATTACAAAAAATGGCTTACTTCAGTTAAGTAATTGGTTTTAATTTTACAACAACAGTGAAGTTGTTGAGGGAGAAGCGCAGGGATCTTCAGAAGCCTCGCTTTTACCTTCACAAGTGCAAGATAATCTGGTTTGGAGTTCCTCTGATCGATTGTAAATCACAATTCAAATCACCTTGCGCAACCGTTGACCTAGAAACAGTGCTTTCCCTAAATAGTACTGAACCCCAGACCCTTCATGGATTGTAGTGGTACAGGT